TCATCAGGTAGTAGGAGAGAGGAGGAGATGGGGTGAAGGGAGGAAGGTGGGGAAGAGAGATCGGAGGGAGAAAAGAAACGGCAAGAGAGGCATAATTATTAGTGTATCCACGCTTTAAACCACAGCAAGAAAATGGAACACAAAATCACAACATTTTCCACCTCAAAAAGTTGTAGTAGTCAGCATTGGGCTGAATTATACATAATATAAGCACATAAAAATAGGAAACACCCACAAAACCAGCCACAACTCACCACCGGCACTACAAAACAATTACAGACAGTAAGTTATTAATGGATGAAAGTAAAGTCTGAGCTGCCGTCACCCACAGACTGAAATGAGGAACAACACCTCTGTTTTATATGACCTACTGTAGGTGCTCCGTCCTTAGACGTACAAGAGATTTAATGGGCTCTGTTTGTGGCAACTCATGACAGAGCTTCAACCAGTTAGTGTATGATGAAATAACAAACATGTCTATTCAACTACTTCTCACTGGTAATGATACCACTTAACAGTTGTTCTCCTTCCGCACTATATGCAATACTTAGTTAAAAAATACGGTTGTATGCCAATCAGTAAAGTTGCATTAAAATCCGTGTTTTTTTCCAAAATGCCATCACTTCATCGTTGAGCAATCAAGCTCCTCCTCTGTGGAACCAGCTCACAGTTTCCGTCAGGGAGGCAGACACACTCACCACATTTAAGAGTATATGGCTTTCCTTTTTAATAACACTTATTTAAGGGCTGGCTCAGGTTGGCCTTGCAATAATGCCCTATAATCTATACACTTTGAGAAAATGAAAGGGGTGATATTTGTAAACACCAAGACCAAAATTTGGTCTCTCTCTCAAAATTTGAGAGAGAAGCTTTCAAGAGGAATTGACTTAATTTAAATGACATAGTTTGAGTGCAAATAAATAGAGTAAGCATGAAGATAGTCGTCCTGATTGAACTTAATAGTAAAACATAGATAGTATTAGAGTAAGTCTAGTTTCATTTTAAACTGATAAACAGTGCTCAGCATCTTTATGTTTCAATTAATTATCTGAGCTCATCATCATCTTTATTGTAATTTCTGGTCCTTATTGCTCAAGAGACAATTATTAGTTTGTTTCATTAGATGCATGTGAGCGCATTTGTTCCGTAGCCAGCTACTCCCAAAGCCAAAGCAATAACAGTATTGCATTGTTCCCCCCAAATGAATCATCTCCAATAAATAGCCCAATAGCTGTTGGTGACAAATGGCCTCGAACCTCAGAAATGAGCGGCAGAGAGGCTCGGGTAATCTAATGGGCTGTCCTTGAAAGGCAGCCAATGCCTGGAAGATTTGCTCCCTGATTACTGACATTAACCAAAGAGTTCAATGTTGGCCCCAGTGACTCTCAGCTTGATGATATCTGTCCTCATCTACTTCGCTGTTGCTCTTTCTTCCTTTTGTCAATGTGTTTTCATGTGTCTTCATTCACTGTTTCCTCTGCTTTTATTTCTATGCAAATGTTATACTTCACTATAAGAACCAAGAGCTACCTATAAATGGATTACTTTTTTTCAGTAAGTTTACTTTATAGCACTTCAAGAAAAATATCTGCCAATTTGCTTTTTTTGTTATGAAATTTTGTATAATAAATGGTCATTGTTATAGTTTACAGATCCATAGCCAAGATTTTAGAAATACTGAGGTCATTATTCCAAGTCCTTCCAACATATTCCCCACCACAAGAATGCCAGGAATGAATGTCTGGTGGAGAAATACTGAATATTTAATATTTTATTCTTATATATACATTCATACAATCCTTTTATGAATTCACCTATGAGTGTCTGAAAACTGGAGCAAAGTGAGGAGACAAGGTTCTAGATACCTGTGTCATTACTGCCACTGGAAACGTGTACTGTAGCTCTGCACTCTGAACAAACATAGCAGCCCTTTGAGAAAGCCAGGAGACACAAAAACTCTCACATAAACACGGACACACACGCTCTCTACAGAGTTGGCAACATGGGCAGACTAACATAAGGCCATTTAAGGTTAGAGGCTTGCCTGGATCAGATGGCGAAACACTTAAAGCCTTTGAAAGCTGGGCTATAAGGAGTGACCACTGTAGCATATTTACAGACCTGAGTAAAAGCCTATTTCATTCAGTGCTGCATTCAGGCGCCTGTCATGGAATACAAAGAGACACACAAACCATCTACTTGTTGGTGAACAATCAGTGTAAGTGGTGGTGCTTGGGTGATCAATGCCTTTTTTTGTAAACCCAAGAGAAAGGGGAGTTTTTTTTGTCTTTTTATTTGGCAAGTGGATAGGATCAAATTGCTCTCTGGCACATTGAGAAGCATGAGATTAAACAGAGATTTGTGAAAGAAGTGACACATTTTGAATCGACCGCTCACCAAACCCCATCCCCTGCATGATTGTCCAATCCCAGCTCCTGCCAAACTCGATCGAAGCCACGTTTAACAAACACATACTCAAATATTTTTTCAAACAGGCATCCAAACAGGGTTATGTTAGCTAGCCACCGTTACCGTTGTGAACTGCATTCGTGCTGCGCGAGAATGGAAAGCTTGACAGGCATAGCAACAGTAACTAAGGGGGGGGGGGGGGGGGGGGCTGAGTAAATAGTAAATTGTTAAAAGAGCACAATAGTGACCATGCGACCAAAATAGTAACGGGCAAACTGTTTCCAAACCCACATAAAACACACGATCATAGGCCTAAAATAGACATCTTTCCTGTCTTTACAGCCTTTCTTCCATCTCTCTCGACTCCCTTTGCACACAAACACTCTTCTCCGCATTGCCTCCATCCTTCCCTACGTGAAGTGGGCTATCTCTCCCTACATCTGCATGTGTTAGGGGTTGTACTGGTGTGTCAGTAATGACAATGTCCCAGTATTCCTCTCTGCCAATTAGCCCGGCCATAATTACACAGACACACATGGAGCTGTCAATCACCTGGCTCCTCCACACAGGAACTCACCCACCCATCAGAGAGAGAGACAGAGAGACAGCGAGCGAGGATTTCCAACCGCTAGCTCTATACCACTCCAAAAGGCCGCACACTGTGCCAATAAGTAGCAGGAGAAGAGTTTCATTCAATTACTGTGCGGCAATCCCACAGCTCACAGGAAAATGGCATGAAACAGTAGACAAAGAGAGGCGGTGGATTGTAATGTATGTATTAACAAACAGTCTTTAGTGTTAGTCAGTCCAAAATATTTGAAAATTCTAAAGAAAAATATTTGGAGGATATTTAAATCAATCCAAAACTGAGAACATACAATGTTGTTGCAGAATTACCATCCATGTCACCCTTAAAGGATAATGCTGGTGATGGTGGTAGAAGAACACCATGACAAAGACAGAAATCAACAATGTATTCATCCTACTATCAAGTGCCTGTGGAGTGAAAGAGCTTATTCCTCTGTGCTGCAGAGCTCCATTGTTGTCCAAAAACAACTCAATGAGCCACACTGTTGTGACATGTGACACGTTCCTTCATTATGATGAACATGGCCAGTATTTAGAGTCAAATCAACGTACACCGTCCTGCTGCTGTGAATACGCACTAGAGCACCGAATGGTATCAACGCACGTCTGAAAATAGTCCATGACAAATCCACTCCGGTTTGAGTAATGTCTGCTAAAAACTGCAGTGCCCAGCTGTTTTAGAAAATGACTTAGTCAATATGTTTGTGACCTGATTTTAAAGATTTGCACTTTCAATAGCACAAATGGTCTTGAGGTTGAGTGCCACAAACGAGTTCAGTGACGTCAGAAAGTATTGAAGAGACACCAAATGCATTGTTCGTTTTGGTCTTTTCTGGGGATTTGGCCGCTGCCTTTGGTTGAGAAAACTGGATGCTTCTATTCAATCCCAGAGGAGAGCAAAACGTACCTGCTTAATTTGGATGAGGATAAAAAAAATAAATGCATTTTATAGTCTACTGTACATTTCATCTTGATCTTGAGTTAAGCTTTCTAACATCGCTGTTGGACATCACAACTGTCCGGTCATGTACAGACATGCATACAATGCATACATCTTAGAGCTGGGAGATTCAACCACTACACCACAAAAGCATCTGGCTAGTTTGATTTCTAAATCAGACAAAGTATTACAATGCAAAAATATCTTTGTGATTTTTATAGATGGGATTGAAACATTTTACACTTTGACAAGGTCTCTTGGGTCCTCTTAAACCAAAGAAATGTGTAATTTGCCTCAGAAAGAGATGAAATGAGTGATGAAGGACACTGAAAGCATGTTTCAGATCGATACAGAAACATCTTTAACTAATGATACTTGAATCTGCATATCCCACACATCCAGTGGCATTAATGAATCCCTGCTTTCGTGCTTGTAAATTAATGCATGCAAGTCCCAGATAATGGAACGCCTGATTTCCCCTGAGCATCTCTAACAGAACTAAACAAATAGAGTTTCATACTAAAGAAGATAACGTGCATGGCACTCGAGTTCTTTGTCAACCTTTCAAATTCAGTGAGTTGTCTATCTTCTAAAACAACTGCGTCCCCATCATTTCTAACCATTATGCGCGAGTTATCTGGCAATGATGATGAGTTGACACTTTAATCAACACAAGAGAGAAAGAGCAAATGAAAGCAAGAGTGTTTATTTTTTGCATACATGTGTGACAAAGTGTGTTTGAATAGTGCAGCTAAGATCCGTGACCCTCAGAAATGAAGGTTGGTGAAAAGAAGGTGTAATAATGACAATAATAATACCTTTCATTCAATTTGCACTTTCACAACTGAGTTGCAAAGTGCTTTGCAAGACAAACAACTATGAATAACAAGGAAAGAAAAGAAAAAAGGTAGGAGTAAGTCCAGGATGAGGTCCAGGGATGTAGGAGAGTGGGAGAAAATCCAGGAATCAGGGGAGAGTACAGGAGGAGGATGAGGAGGTGGGACGGAAAGGAGGGAGGTATGAGGAGGAGGAGGAGGTCCAGTGTCCCAGCAGCAAGTCTTACCTCTGGGACGTCTTCTTGTACTTGCGCCTGAAAGAAAGAGAGAAAACATGTGGATAGTGAGGCATCGATTGAAACGTTACTCTTGTTTCCATGTTGGATTTATTTTTCTATTTAACATGGAAATGAAATGAAAAGACATTGGGCCTCATGTAAGAACCACCATTTCAGTTTTTTTATCTTCACCATAAATCATCTCATTCGTAAAATGTTCTTCGGCTGTACGAGTCATGAGCAGATAGTCTGTCTTACTTCACGGGAGGAAAACCCTGCTTTGTCTTAAGAATTACGATGCCTTAATGTAAATGAATTCAGAGTTAAAATATAATAGCACACTGAAATAAACTGAAATAACTAGTACTACGTTCACCATAACATCATCAGCATGGCTTGCCAATGTAGTTTGAAAAAAAAAAAGTCTACGTCCAACAGCTGCCTCAGGGTCTTTATGCAGGTTGCCGTACTACCATGCGTACATAAGCATAAAAACACGTTCTTTCATGAGAGCCAATGAGGTTCTAACACCAGACATTATCCCAAAAATACAAATAAGCAATAAGGACAATTAGTGATATTATTCACCTGTGTTCACTCTGTAAATTTAAAAATAATGCAAATGCTTACAATCATTTATGCGGATGAGGCGTTTATGAGAGGTATAACGATATGCAAAAGCACATACACACACCACTTCACCCCCTGACATCCTACCTAATTTACTACACACACACACACACAAACTCGTGGAACCTACAGTCACATTAACACACACACACACACACACACACACACACACACTTTAACTCATCCTAGCATTTAGCCTAAAACACACCCACACCTTTATGAAGAGTTAACAGCGTGGCTCTAAAAGCTCAATTCATGCAAACACGCACACACACACACACACACAGACTCACACTTAAAGCACATAATAGCAAAGTGGAGGAAAGGATGGACCCACTGCCGTTCCACAACAGACATGGTTTAAAATTCCAGTCAGGCAGAATTCACAGCACTTATTTTGATTTGTTCCTCAAGCTCAATGTAAAAGTGCAAGCTAAGGTATTGTTCCCTGTAAAAGATATGTTAAGAGCTCCCTCAAGACTGAGAAAAAAAAAAACGATTAAATCATTCACTCAGGGTCCATCAAGCAATTAAAATGAGAAAGTCAGATGGTTGTCTTAGAGAGTGTTGGAGGTTTCAAACAGAGTAAATGGCAAAGGGAGTTTAAAGCTTTAAAGGAAATGGATAAGAAAAGCACAAAAGAGACAGATAAATAAGAATAAATAAAACAATGGAGAAACGGAAGTATGGACATTTCCTATTCTCCTGTCTTTTATTCCACCTTTTGCCCCTGCCCCTCCTCACTGAGCTTGCTTTATGTTTAAATATGTGTGTCAACAACACAGCGCTTCTTCTAATTAGAAGGCTTTAATGCAATGTCATCGGCATAATGCGGATGTGGGTTGAAAGGGGTCATGGAAATTCTCTCTCTCATTCTATCCATGGATGATTGGTGTACTCTGTGGAGCACACTGTGCCAGAGAGAGAGCTGTGATAGCCATCCAGCACACACACACAAACACACTTATCATACAGCTGCCAAACAAATCTGCAAGGATGAGCTGGAAGCACATACAGTAAATGTCACCAAACCGCTAAATACGCATCCAATCTATATCATCCACACAACCACATGCACAGTCAACCTTTCCTGATCACAGATAGGCAACCATGCACTGCCTACTGTCCATCCCTCCCTCTTAAACACACAACACACACTGTGACGAGTCAACATCTGTGGGGGCTGCCTGTCAGTCGGAGCTCCCTCTCTTGTGATGGAGGCTCTTTGTGAGATTAAAGGCTAATGTGATCTCTGACACGCAACAGGAGCCCTCAGAGCTCTGAGCAGACCACAGCCTTGTCGTGATGAGAAAAGGAAGAAAAAAACGGAAAAAGGCCGGGACACCATTACATTCATCTGACTCACTATCCATCAAATATCCCAAAAGACAAATGGTTGTGATAGCGAATTTATGACAGTGACCAAATGAAAAGACAATGAAGTCATCCGAGGAAACTGAATGTGGCAGCGGGAGATGGTAGAGGGACCCACATATCGGGCTTCTGACACAGGAGAGAGAGGGAGAAACAATGACTAATCATGGAACAATAGAAATGCATAACATGAAAATAACTAAAAAAAAATAGAGTGATGTGAGAGGGGAAAGGAGGAAGGCAGATAGACGAACTGCAGCCCCATGAAACGGTTCATTCACTCAGTTGTCATCCGTGGTGCAGAAGGAAACTGCATTTCAATCAGACCTCCAGCGGTAACATGAAAGATTTTTTTCCTTAACACAACCCTCCTAGCAACACTGCCGTCTCCTCCCCCTGCTGAGTAAGAAGGAGGAGAACTGAAAATGAAAAAGAGAAGATTCCCACTTCAACTTGCGTATACGATGTGCGGGGCTCTATTCAAAGATCCAAAGGTCAAAGAGGTGTTGATTGGTTGGTGGATGTGAGAAAGGAATATTATAGTGTGGAGGGTTTTAAAAAAGGAAACTGGTAGAAATGAGAAATGTGAGGCTTGAGGAGGCTTTTGTATTATTTAAAGACAAATAGTGTGGGTGCAAAAGATTGGCAAAAATACGTGAGCGGACAAAGAGGAGAAACTAAATAAATTGAGAAAAATATAGAATTAGCCCCAACTTCAACCAACAATACGCACATTCAGTCATTCAAGTATTGTAGCATCATAACTCTACATGGGCACCAGGTGTTAAAACGGCAAGCAGCATGAAGAAACATAAAAAAATGATGATGTATGGCAGTGAAAAAAAGTACTTAAATTTACTTAAATAAACATGTAATAAGGGTGCAATTGTGAGAAACCATCCCTCAGTAAACACTTCAGCTATAACATACTTTCCTTTCCTCCTTGCTGTGCAATAATGTAAACAAGTAATTCAAAATAGTTCAAAGGAGGTATAGCTCAGAGCAATTTGACTTGAATAATTCCAGCCTCTCTCTCTCTCTCTCTCTCTCTCTCTCTCTCTGTTTTTAGGTTTTCACTCAAACAATCCTTTCTCTCTCTCACATACTGAAACTCTCTCTCTCATACACACACACACACACACATACACACAAACACAAACAACGCAAGCTACACATGCTGTAGCTTTTATTATGACACAAGTATTTTTGCTGTATCCTTCTGTGATTAAGCTGTTGCAAATCAATTTTAAACTCACGTGTAAATTTCCCTCACACAGAGGCATACACAGCATTACTTCACACACACACATACGCGCGCGCACACACACACACGCACACACACACACACGCGCACACACACACACACACACACACACACACACTTGTTGAAAATAGTAAAAGTGGATATACTCACAGTCCACGGAGCCTGAGCCAAATCTTCTCAATCTGTTCCGGCTGCAGGTACTTCAGGGACGTGCTTTCAAACTCCTCGATCTCTTTGGTGGGAGACTCCATGTTAGAGTCTCAAAGAGTTCCCGATGTACCAACAAGAGATCAAACACACACAAAAGTTTAATCCCTCTTAAGTGTGAGTGGCGAGGAAGACGCAGCGCCGAGCAGAGAGAGTTTGCAATGTGTTGGAACCCAGGACGTGACCGAGGTTTCCTCTTTCTTCACTCACATTTGCACCCACAGCTGCGACGAACCGGACGTCATCCTTCCTTTTTGTCTCTTTTCTCCCTTGTTTATGTGAGAGAGTGTGTGTGACTAAAACTCAGCAACACTCAGTGCAATGCAGTGCTCAAGGAGCTGTGACAGTCGTGAAACAGTACCTCTTTCCCTCTCTTGCCTCTCTCTCTCTCATTCGTTCACTTCTCCCCTGTGTGAGCACAGGGGTCCTGGAGCCATGCCATGCTCTCCCAGCAACAACGGGATGCAGACGACAGGGCAGCACAATCCGGGATTAACGCTCACAGCCGAGCTCGCCACGCGAGAGGGAGGGGGGAGAAACGCCACCAGTCAAAGAGAGGGAGGAGTCTGGTTGATAATGAGAAACCATGTCCTGTTTCATCCATTGGAAAAAGAAAAAAAAAAACAGCGGGAGTGAGGGAGAACAAGGAGTGGGGATGGAAAGGAACAAGAGGGAGAGACCTTTAGGGGAGGAGATGACGAAGATGTGAGTGACCTGAAGTACTGGAAGCAAATATCTGCTCAAAGAAGGGACCATTTCCTGTCAAGAAGCTGCAAAACGGACACAGCTTTTCCTTCTCGTTCATAAACACTTTCACATACGTGTGCTTATTTCACCAGGAATTTAAAGGTAAATGTCATGGGGCAAATGCAGACTTCGACAGCTGTGTATCAACATTCAAAGTGATGAACATGTATTCATCATAATACATTTGCTGTGCAACATATTAAATGTCATGCCAGAGAGGATTAAATAGCGTGCAGACAGTGCATTGACAGTGATTTGACTGAGATTACTCTGATCCATTGAGCTCATTCAGGACCATCCCATATTCAATCCCCCCCAGATATAATAGTTGTCTCTGTCTCTAGCGCTCTCTAAACTACGCAGATACAGCATGTCCTCCACAGTTTTATAGGCCAAAATGTCCTTTCTGCCTCATTTGGTCAGATAATGTGGGAGTTAACGGGCCAGTTTCAAATTTAAGACGGTTTTATGATACCGGCAGCCGTATAAGCCATCACAACGCAACAGGTCCTGCAAATATTATGTGTTATCTCCGATCCAGAATGAAAGCTGTGTTAGTTATTGAATACCGAATACCGTAGGTGCTGAGTACTCTTTTGCTTGTCTGAACAATTTATTTTATAATGTTCTCATTTATTAGTGTGAATGCTGATTCATGATTCATGAATCTGTGGTTATACCATGACAAAATGTAGAAAAGTCCAAGGGAGGTGAATACTTATGCAAGGCACTGTATATGCTACATTGTATGTTAGAAATATATTGTGTAAAAGCACCTACAACTTTTTGAGCCCTTTCAGCTGCTTTCTCTCCTTCTCCTTCTTATAGCTCCTTGTTCAATGGACGTCTAGTAAAAACCAATTAGTCTTCTCATTTTCTGCAAGTCCAAAACTTGCAAGGATGACTCAGCCCAGACCCCCCTTTCTTCGAGCCCCCTACCATACTCTTAGGTCTTTCAATTACTTGATGCAGGATGCAGGGATAATGCAAGGGCGCCACCTCAAAGAGGCTCCTGCTTTAATCTGCTGAGATGGGTCCTCTGTGAGGAGGGAGGAGAGAGGTCTGCCTGAGTGCCATGAAGCCTGCTGATGTTCTCTTCAAAGGCACACTTATCTGTGTCTCTTTCTCCCTCTATCTTCGGCTTTCAGTTTCTTTCTCTTTCTGGCTGCCTTTCTTCAATCCACTCTTCATCGCTGTGTTTTTCTCAGTTTTACTGGAGGTATGTATGCCAGGCCCCAGGAGATCTCAAGCCACAGCCAGAGTTGTCAGGTCATCTTGAGGCGAATCCACAACAGTAGTTTCACATTTCAGTGTTTGCTGTTCACGGGTTACCACCCCAGGGACCCGCTGGCCCGTGTCCTCTGTATGTGTAAATGTGACATTGAACAAGGTTGAGCCTGGTGAGAAAGGTCCTGTCAAAAGCCCTGCAAGGACTAAGAAGGTCAATTTAAGCTGTTTACGCAGATGAATTAAGAATACACAGAAAGTGCTGACTGAAGAAGAAGTAGGTAGAAGTTAACCGACTCTTGATTAGACGTTTGCGAGAATCCGATGGTCTTTATTGAGCACACAGAGAAGAAGAAATGTGCTCAATAAAGGTACATTTCCCAATTACCTCCACCACCTCCACATAATAGCATCAGTATAGAATGATTTAGCATGACAAAGTTGCTTTTTTTTTTTTTTTTTTACATGACAAAAATGTACTTTCTACAATATCAAATTGTAACTACATGGCTACAGTTCAGAAAAAAATGTAATTATGGCAAATAAGTTATGGTTAATGATTGGTTAAGGTGTAAGTGTGCTTCAACTAAAGTGCGTTGGACGGTCAACAATGGTCTGTAACCCCTTCCACAACGCCTTTACGACATCCCCAAACAAAGGACACAAAAGAGGAGGAAAGAGTGCATCATGTCAACACGTGTGTCTTGACTCAGCAGGGTTAACATAAAATATAAAGTTGCTCTGCAACAGAATATATATTTGACCTGAGAGTCTTAATGTACTATACAATAGGTACGTATTACTCATTGCTTCTGATGTGGACCTCTGTGTCCCATTCAACAATTTTCATTACAAGATGTTTGATTATCCCAGAACAATACACTATTAAGGGTTAAACAGAAAACATTCATAGCATCCCACATTCACTACAAAAAAAGAAGGTCTCTGATGCATGAAATAGCAGGATCAAGTCTTGTTGAGAGATGTGGCCCCCCAGCCTTTGCACTCAGGAATCTCAGAGAATATTTAAATTGCATTGCCAACTGATGAATGAAACACCTTGTGGCAATGTGGCTAGTTTGGATCACTGGATGGTGAGAGGGTCAACACAACAATGTTCATGCGAGCATGCAATGAAATATTAAGAATACGTGGAGGTCTTTTGCTTGCTTTTTATTCCTAAATGATATGTTGTTGTTGCTGAGGAATCTGAGGCATTAGCAGTCTGAAGGACATATTCTAACAGATAGACGTCACAGAGCAATGCAACATTCTTCACGTAGTCAAATAATTCAAACTGTGTTCAAAGGATGAGAAGCGAATACAGCAGAATGTGAGTAAAAGCTTTGCCTTCACAACTATAATATGTCTGAATGGGTTTCACAAATGTAGCCCCCGTTTTATTCATATTCAAGACTGATGGAAACAACACAAGAGCAAAAACGGATTGCGTCCCCTCACATAATGATCATCAAAATATGTCCCTGATGAATTACTATCACATCGACTGCTCACAAAAAAAGACCTAATGCATCAAGTCTTGGGAGAGTTAATTATTCGTATGACTATGACAGAGAGACTTGCTGGAAATTCCACTCTGCGAAGGTTTTCTTGTCACCGTGTTCGGGCTCCCTCGAAGCTCACACATTGAAATCAAGACATTAGCAGCCCCGGCCATTTGGAGGAACATGAAAAATTCAGATCTCATTTACATTTCCAGGCAAGTCGATAAGGATATCTATGTATCAAAATAGCAATCGCCTTTGCGGTAATGACCACATTTTGGTGAAGATCATCCATCACGAAATACAGTATGTTTTTCCATCTATACTTAATTTCTCCTTCTGGATTGGATGTTGTGGAGATGGAAGGATGGGCGGGAGAAATTGAGGGCACCCAGCTATACAGTTATATTTATTTGCAGAGTGATGGAGGTGGGAAAAATACCCCGGAAAAGAAACGTCCTATTACTTCATCCCCAAGAGATATTCCGATAGGTCAAAGGTGATCATACAACAAATGAGAACCGAGGTGAAGAGGGAGGCAATCAGGCTCGAGCATTTGAGTAGCGCGATGACGGTTAACATGAGAATAGGCTTTCTTGGTAAAGACAAAGGTACAAACCACAGCATTAGTTCAGTTGTTTTACCGTAACATAAGGATTATTTTCCAGCACATATGTTGGACTGAAATATGTGGCATGTGAATACAAGGAAGAAAACTTTCAGGCTAAACATTATTCGTATTCACTTTTCAGTGGCATTAAAGTGATTTTTAGCCACACTAGCTGCGAGCTGTATAGATGGTCTGTTGGTCGGTCCGCCATGTTTTTGATACATTGAAAAATCTCTGTGGACGTTATTCATTCTCCGTCAGGTAGATTGTCATGATCGCCTGACATTTCGTCCAGTGACACCAGCAGGTCAAGATTCCAAATTGTGACTATGTCAGTCACGATAGCATTTAGCTCAAAGCACTGCTTTGTCTAAGTTCAGCCTCACAGCTGCTAGCATGGCAGCAGACCCCTTCGTGTTTACCTGACAGGAACTGAAGCCTGATATACTAATGGCTTACTAAGTGTGTATTAATGGCCAACATTACGTTACATTACTACTACTTTTTGTGTCTGTCCACCTGATAAAATCATGTCAACTTTACTTACATTTCAGCTCTGGTTTGGTGCACAGAATCTGTCACTGTGGCTTTCTAAACACTCAACTGTCTGCCACTGTTTTTCTTATGCTATCAATCAGTTACACTGGACAGTCTGAGCTACCTGCACAGACTGTACGGGTTACAGGAGGGTGTTAGTGAGAGCCGTTGGGAGGCAACAGTATATCTAAATACAGACTGGATAACCCAAACATAGTGCTAAAAGCAGCTTACAGGTATAAATAGCCACGCCGTTGGATGTTGCATTTGGCAGTAACAGAGGTTTTTCAGTCACTGTCAGGATCCTTTTAGATTGTTTAGATATTCATAGTTAATTATCAATGCATGTTTTATGACTGTGATTATGATTATGATTAATAATAAGATATTGATATTATATATCAACTTAGTTTTTTAAATTCATGACCTTTGATGTTTTTAGGTTTGTGATTAACAGTATTTTCTTTCTTCCCATCTACTGTGTGTGAAGCGGTTTATCTGGGTGACTGCTGCATACAAGTGCCCTTACAGAGATAAATAAAGTTGTATTGAATTGAATATCAAAATATCTCTTTATTTAGCTTTACCGGCAAGTTCTTTTTTATGTTGTTGAGTTTCGAAAAGGGTTTTATAACCCAAAATCTGTAAACATTTCCCAACCCATAGATGACAATGTTGTCTCCAAACAAAGGTTCAATTGTGAAGAAAATTAACATTATCGGTTTTCAAGAAATGTCTTCAAAAGCTATTCAAAACCAGTGTTTGTGGATACAAGTGCTCATATCTACATTTGAATCTCATTCTAACTTGTGTCTCTGCCGCCAGCAATAATAATTATGAACTCCAAAAAAAAAATTATGATTTTCTGTTTAAGAGTTCACTTCAGGGTCAAGACTAAGGAAACGCCACACTCACTGCAATTCACACAGCTCAAAGTGGCAAATGTATGCTGCGCACACCAAAACATCTGCTGCCCTCTTTAGAGCCTCAAGCCTGTAACTGCTGTGATCCCGTTATATTAATCCCACAATGAGATATGTGCAAAGCCTACAAAGATATGAGTAGTCACGTCATGGGTCAACAATTCTCATGCAATTCACATAGTATTTAAAAGCTGTTATGTGAGCCAAGTGAATAACATAGACTGCTTAAGTTTCTAGTTCGACAGAAAAATTATATTTTAGAATATTTGATATTGATCTCATCTTTCTTATGACTTTCCAAATTGATTTTATTTCTGAAATGATCTGTGATCTAATTTCATTCATCTTTCTACATGTAAATAATAATACATTACAACTCATGTTTGATTGAAACATATTTGGGGAAAAACCCCAAGAGCCTCCATTGATCTATACTTCAATCAATAACCAAAAAAGTATTTTTATTAGTGAAAGGTTGAAGGCTGCACACGAGGCAATCAAGATATTGATCAAAGCAAAAGTCTTGCCATCAATATACACTGTATATCTAGCTAGCATAAGCTCATGCTTTAGGCAACTCTGAACTTTGGATGTCATTGGCACAGGTACAATTTCTATTTGTGTCTGTTGCTTAAAACACTGCCTTTCTTAGACAGTACAGAGAATAATGTGTATAAAAACCCAATCCAGAAAGATGTAGCGTCATGTGGCAGACAGCAGTGATACAGCTCTTTAACATCATAACTGTGAGGTCGCGCCTCCATCATTTTGATGAATAGCTCTGCCATTGCCCATGTGCTTCCACTAGCCGGCTAATGGCTGGTCGGAGGCTCATTAGCTGGCTACTGGGGCTAGTGATGGAGGTTGTTTCTGCACAGGGGGATGTCAGTCGGGGTCTCTGAACCTGCGGGTCAGCCTCGAAAACTGTGGGCTGCCACAATGGAGACAGCTGCCTTCATCCACTGTAAAGTCCACAGCGGCTATTTGTGTGACAGCTGTGTTGCTGCTGTGTACGAAGAAAAGAGTACAAATGTGGTGAGTGAATGAATGCTCAATTTAAATAAAGGATGTTTTGTACTCAAAATGCAAGAAGAAGAAGACACAATGAGATGATGTAATTGAAATAAGTCCAGTTAAACCTCAAATGAAGGAAAATAGTCACATGCTTCATTGGGCCATTTGCTGAATCTGTTTCCGTTGCACTTTGTAGCATTTGGCTATTGTGTTGTTTACTTTTTCGAATTTAAAAATGATGAACGTATCTTAAAATAGACTTATTCTTATATTCTTTCTGGCATACCAAGCGACACATTACAGATATGCTAATGCATTTGGTCTCCATCAATCGTTCATCAATAAGATATTATGGATTAATTACTGACTTGTTCTTTTTTCACTATGAGCTTTGCATTCCAAATAATAATATCACTACATATTATTACATGACATGTTGATCACACTGTTGCAAGTTCTACCATGGTCAAATGGTTATCAAATTAAATAATGGATGCTGGTTCCTAGCCTCAAGTCACAATGGAACATGTACTTGCGTGGAATAAATTGGCAATTAGATTTTTAATAAAATGGGGATTTTGACTAATGAGCAATAACTTGTGCTTTACCCAAAACCTTTCACATCCATTTTTCTCTTGGGACAAGAATGGAAACAGCCCTAATGGCTTTTTGTGCTTTTTGTGTTTTCCACAAAAAGCACAAAAACTGCAATTTGAAATGGAAACAAAAATGAATCAATCAAACATACAGTCGGCTACAAGTGGCAAATTGTGAGTGACTGGACTTCGGGGTAAACAATGACGCAACCTGTCTGCTAAAGCTGTTCAAAGAAACCAACGGTTTCATCCTCTGTGTGAAAACCCCATATTCAGTAGCTAGCAAGTGCTTAAAAATGCATATTGCATCCCTAATGAGCAGAAACAACAGCACGACACCAGCCACACCGATGAGTCAGTGTGTGTTTCTACACTAATGGCTCCATATTGTTTTCTGTCCCTCACTGTGTGCCTAAGCATTCACTCAATTATGTTGTTACAGCAACATTTCAGCAGCTGCTATGTGTAGCATATGCTAAGTGTTAGCCAGCGATTCTGCTGGTCTGAAAATAGATGGAGAAAAAAGGTAAAAAGATAATCAAGCAGCTTTGTAAAGTGGAAAACTGCAACCAGTAAAATGCTAAAATGATCCATTAGGATACTTGTAGGGAAAAGAGCTGTGGAACAAAATAGTGCAATGGTTACAAAAACCAAAATGTTCAAAATGTTGTCGTATTCACATCAGCCTCAGCTGACTTTACTTTCATTCATCCCCAGTTAATGACTGCTGTCCTCTGAATCACACACTCCCATCATGCCTGCTACACTTCACGTGATCCCTCTGCCTTCGCCAATAAAATCTCATTATCGTCACCTGGAGGACAGCAGCCAGCTCTGCCCTCAGAGGTGACACGGTGGTTACATCATATTATGGATTACTGCAAGTTCCTCGGCCATTTAATCACCTTGTGCCATAATCTTTCCATCTGTCATTCGGTTGTACATCTCTGTACTCCCTGTGGGTTTGCCTTCAATTACCCACGGTTGGCCTAGCCAAAGATTTGCCCTGACTTTAGTGGGATTTCCCAGACAAAGATGTAAATATGCAGATGTCTGTCTGTTCAGTGTGAATCATATGGAATGGATGCAACCAAATAAAAAAGCCAAACTATAAGCTCTTTTCTAGAGGCCACATTTGCTGGTAAATCTCTATTTCACCATTTAAATTACTTTAATGAACAAGAAATTGGCAGGTTTTTTTGACATATTTTTGTTTTATATAAACTGTTAGTGCTCCTGAAATTAATCATTCCCCTTCAGGCCAGGCGACAAATACAAATTGTTCAGCCAAAGATTTAGCAGCACTTGGCTTGTGCTTGGCATTTGTTATCCACCCTTATTAAAGCTTAAGCTATGTCTTAATATGGGCCTTTGACACTGAAATAAGTCACTGTCTCTATGGACAAATGGACTCTTTCCTCTAAGGTAGGTGAGAGTGCTTTT